TGTAATGCCATGGCACTCTACCCAGGGGGACAGCTTGAGGCTCTGTCTCAAAAAAAAAAAAAAAAAACCAGAAAATTAGGATAGGAGCCTGATTACAAGACAAATTAACATACTGTCTATATATTTTTTAATTGAAATGGTTCCTGTGAGCAAATGTTTTGAAATTAGCCTTTCTTTTGATGAAATGTTTTATATGGTAAAAGGAATTTCTATACTATTAAAGGAATATTTTTTCCTATATGTATTCATAATTTTTCCCAAATCCCACTTACTGTCAAGTTAATATGTATTCTAAGCAAATGCAATTAGAGTACAGTTACAGGATTTATTACATCTTTATTCTATAGATTCCTTGCTTCACTGTGATGCATAAATTAATTTTTCTTTCTAGTTAATGATTTTCGAAGTGTTTCCTTGAACTTGCTACAGACACATTTTAAGAAAGCCCAAGAAAATCAGCAAATTGGGAGGGTAGAATTTCTTCCAGTCAACTGGCATAGTCCTTTGCATTCTACTGGTGTGGATGTGTGAGTAATACTTTATACCTTTGAGTTGTTAACTGTGATTGTAATATATTTTCTGATCATTGATATGCTTAGGGACATTTCTGCTATAGGTGGTTGTATATTTAAGATTTCTTGTAGATATGCTATTGAATGGTGATCAGTTCTTTGATTTAAGAAAAAGGCTATTCAGTATGTTTTACCGGCTCACTGTACTATTCACTACTAGTATTTACTATTATAGTGTCATTATTTCTTTAGCATTAAAGCCAAACATTGCTCTCTTCCCATCATGTATAAACATTTCCATCTTCAGGAGTCAGAAGCCAACCATATCCCAAGATGTCAAGATGTAAAAAGTATTTTGTTGTTTTCTTTCTTTCTTTTTTTTTGGAGATAAAGTCTCACTTTGTCACCCTGGGTAAAGTGCTGTGGCGTTATAGCTCACAGCAACCTCAGACTCTTGGGTCAAGCAATCTTCTTGCATCAGCGTCCCAAGTAGCTGGGACTACAGGTGCCTACCACAATGCTTGGCTATTTTTTAGAGACGAGGGTCTTGCTCTTGCTCAGTCTGGTCTCGAACTCTTGAACTCATGCAGTCTACCCAGTGGCCTTGGCCTCCCAAAGTCCCAGGATTACAGGTGTGAGCCACTGTGCCCACCCTGTTTTATTGTTTCTTTTGTGATATTTAAAAGTATTTTTTCAAATTTAGGAAAAAAGAGAAGACATCCTCAAACATTAAATTATTGGCAATTACATCTTAAGGTATAATTGGTACATGACTTTTAAGTGATGGCTTTCTTTAGGTAATGCCGAGTAGTTTTGTTTGTAAATGTTATTATGGTGATGATAGAGAAGGTTGCCTTATATTGAGGATGTCTATTACAGTTATGAGCTCTCCAGAAAAAAGTATGCTTATAATAGAGTTCCAGAATAGCGTTAGGAGATGCTTCTCTGAAAGATGAAGGAAATACAGTCTTTCCTTGTTTGTCTTAGAGATTGGCATTTCTGGGTCTGCGTCTCTCAGTTCTTTTTTTTTTTTTTTTTTTTTGA